CATCAAATATATGCTAGATAATGTTTACAGGAGCCTTCTGATAAGTCAACTGTATGGATAAAATAATATTAGATCTGTTTAGAATAACATTTAACATTGCCAGTATTCATCATAAATTTTGCCAAAATGTGAGAATTTTTCACATGACGTGAAAATATTACTAAACCAAAGATTTCAGAACCCAATTAACACCTTTCAAATTGATCTATTTTGATACAAATTGTTAATAAAAATTTAAAAAATATAGATTTATAATAACTTTTAAAAGATAAATATTTTTAATATTAATGTGTTTTTTTTTAAATAAATTAAGATTAGTAAGTATAATTAAATAAAAGTAGCAATAAAAAATTATAATTAAATAATTCTTATTATTTAAGAAATAATAATTTTTAAAATTTAATTGAATTATTTTTTAATGATTTAAATAAATTTAACTTAAAATAAAAAAAAAATTCAAGTAATACTTATTTATTTAATATTTTATTATTTAATCAAGTAATTTTTTAATAAATATATTTTATATATTAAAGTTCTAATTATTTACTTTTAAACAAAATTGTTTTTTTATTAAGCTTAAAAAATAAAGTTTTAAACCAAATTCAGGAATTTTAGAAATTGACTTGAATTATATCATTTGTTTTTTTTAAAAAAAAAAATAACATAACAAAAAATTCTTATTATAGGTAAATAGGTAAATCATATTATATCTAACCTTATAGATTCATATTTCATAAACTTTTTAATTCAATTACATAATGAATATTGATATTTTTTATTATGGTTGAAAATTTTGAAAATAGAAAATTTATAATTATATATATATATACATAATCCAAAGCAAAAAAATTAATAAAAAATAGAAAATTTATAATTAAATATATACATAATCCAAAGCAAAAGAAATTTTTTTTTTTCGATATTTCAGTTATCATCTGAATTATTAAAATTTTCTTTTTTGTTGAAACCAAGTAATTAAAGCTTCATACATCGTCCAACTAATAGCGGCTTGTGCAGATTTTCTACCTAACCTAAGCGTTAACCCATCAAAAAACCCGATAAATCCTCCCTCCTAACAAAATACACAAACGAAAAAATTGATTTGATAAATTGGAAAAATTTTTTAAAAAAGGATAATGCAATTAAAACAGTACATAATTAATTACCTTTAATATTTTTAATGCTCCAATCCAAATATTTGGATAATTTTGAGGTTTTAACTGCATCCTTGTCTTAAGTAGATCAAAAGGATGTGTAATAGAAGTTGCTAAGAATCCTGCTATCATAGCTATTCAATATAAGAAGGTAATTTAGAATTAATTTATTAAAAGAGAGAGAGAGAGATGATAATTAAGTTTACCAGAAGTCATGTATATTACGGGAGAAGCAATTGTAGAAGTATTATCTAACGAAAAGAAAATAAATGAATGAATATTGAGATAAGAAAAAAAAATCAGTTAGAAATATTATTGAGATTCTCAACAACGTACTGCTTATAAATAACTTCCATCGTTCATAAAACAATACATATAATCCTGCATAAGGCGCGTCTCTAATAATAGTAGCACTGTATCCATAAAATAACCCTGAATAAAAAAGTTACAAAGTAAATTAGGAGAGGATACTTCAAACAAAGGTTACTCATAAAATGCCGAATGGTAAGAATCTAACCTTTCACTCCCTCATGTCGTATAATAGATGTTAGAGCGTTCCATATACTCTTATAATTATAAAGGTTACTCTATCAAATAAAACAAAATAAAATCAAGAAAAGTGAGGTGATATAAATGGCAATTAGACAGTTTTGGACACATTTTTCATATGTCAGAAACTTTGTTCAAAACATTAAAATCAAAGAATATGTCCAAACCCATCAACACGAGTTATGTTTAGGTTATGCATACCTCGTACCTAACTTTAACAATAGTAATAGGCATCATAAGAAGTCCAACAGACCCTCTAGCTATCATACCAGCAATCAAATTATCTCTACTTGATAAAACTGGTAAGGAAGACTTCGAAGAAGTTTGTAATGTGATGTTTTGTCTTAAAAAGAAGAGATGCCGGATTTCGGATAATGTGAAAAAATATAATGCTGAACCAGGAACATTTCTAATAAAGAACATTTGGTTATAAGAAATAATAATTTAAATGTATTAAAGTTACGCATCGACATACCTAAATATTGTTGGAATAGTTCCTCTCCATAAACCAGTTATACTTTCATTCTTAACAATATTTTTAACTGTCTGCATAATAGTACTAACAATCAACAAATTACAAAAGATATTGTTTAAATCGGCAAAACTTACACCATTTGCTTCATTATTCTCACCTGTTTAATGGTGTTACGGATTTTACGCGTTGTTGTCTTTGTTGTTGTAAGCGAGTTTTCACTAGGTCGAATGGTTGCAATAAGACACATGATGTTAGGCCCGATATCGCACCGGCTGTTAAGTGGGCTATGGGATCTTTTTTCTTCATAATTATTTATAGGAGAAGAACAATTGACTAAACAGCGAAGTACCCTTTTTCTAGAAATTACTTTTTTAAAAAATGCGATATTGCATGAATCTTTATTTAAAGTTTATACAAATTCATCAAATTACATACATATACAACAGAAAAAAAAAAAATCTCGTAAAAAAATAATGAGCGCGTAAACGATTAAGTAAAACCAGTTAATGTTTCATCTACCCTTAAATGGAAGAATGCATTAAAGGTTGAACTGCACATTATCGTAATTTTCACATGATAAGATCACGTCATTTAGAATCCGATGCTTTCACGAACGAGGAGGTTTCTGATTAATTTTTTACACAAAAAAAAAAAAAAAAAAAAACAAAAGATTCTGCTAATAAATGAAAATTTTTGGTAGATCAAAAAAGCCACAATCAATTAAATCATGTACAAGATATATATATATATATTTTTTATTGAAGAAATCATAAAATTTGAATTTTCAACACAAATCATCTCGCATAAAATAAATTTAATAACAAATATAAATTATCTTGCATGTAATCTTTTGTATAATAATAATGATTAAAAATCACATTTTTAAATATTGCACCAGGAATTCTAATCAATACTAGTCATAAAAAAATTTCTACAAATGATGTTATTTATTTTTATTTTTTGTAATGTGTTATTTGCAAAATGCATTAAATCACCAGTATGGGAGAAATAAAGAGGGGGTAATTGAATTGAAGTGATTGCACCATTCATATTTAATTATCCAAGATAAACTAAACCCAATGCTATTTTTTTTTTTATAGAAATTACATTCCCACGACCTTTCTATCCCAACGCTTCCTCTCTAAAACTTCAACGGGTAAATTAGCAAAACCTCTTTGACAAAATCTTTGATGTTGTTCCAAATGACGTTTCCACATGACATTCTTTGGTTGTTCTTCGCTACGAATCGCCGAACCAATTCCCATGAATAATGCAAAGCTACCAGCTGACGATACCATATATTGACCAAGCGTAGAAACATATCCTCTCGGGCCTGCTCCATATCTACAAATAAAATTAAGAAGAAAAATTAGATTATAATTAAGGTTTAAACTTTTAACATTAATAATTAAAAATTGGTTGATTATTATCTCTTACCTAAAAATGTGATATGTTCCCAATGCCAGACCCAAACAAACACCCACAGCGCTACCCATTATGACACCACGTTTCAAATGATCAATACGAGAAGGTTCCATTTATATAAATTTTTTTTTTTTTTTTTTTTTTAAAAAAAAACAATTTTTTTTTATTTGAAAGGGTCGATTATATCTAAAAAAAAAAAAATAAAATAAAAAAATAAACAATAAGCAAAAATTAATTAAAGTAATCGTATCCCATTTTAAAAAAAAATGTACCGTTAAAAAAATATGTTGAAAATTCGACTATTATTCACAAAATAGGACTAACGAAAATGAAAGAACTATTTTTTTCTTGAATTTGTTTTTGAAAAAAAAAAAAAAAAAAATTAAAAAAATCAAGTCGCGGGTGTTAGAGGATGTGTATATATATACAACGGTTTTGGTGGGAATATTTTTTTGGGATGGCGTTTTGTATCACCACAGGAGATCACTTGTCATACGCCGTAGTAAATTAAATCCATTGTCTCTGTTTTTTCTGTTGGGGTTAATTGAAGAAATAATTGAAACTCAGGGAATGATATAAAGTAGGTTTTTTAAGAAATTCCATAAATTCTTGAATTCATTCCTGTTTATTTTACATAAGTGCATTTCCCCGCATACAATTAATTATTATTTGAGTAGAAAAACTTTAATGGATTCTCACGCTTTAATCTCATGAAATCGCAGAATTATCAAATTTTATTGATTAGCTAATCCCGCATAACTTGCTACGTCACAAAATTAATTACAAAGTTTAATAAAATAAAGTAATAAAGTCTTATTAAGCAAATACATATATACATTCAATTAGAATAATATATATATATCCATTACCAATCTATTGCTATCATCTCGGAAAGTAAAAAGTTACTTTCCCCCCTTGAATGGTTATTCATAAATCTTTTTACACGATAGGATCTAACCTATAAACTTCGGCTCTTGCAATTTCTTCACCACCTCTTTTGAGAACTACCGCTTTACCAATAATACCTTCGTCACCACAGATTTCAAGATTAATAAGCTCCTTTTTTATTGAAACCAGTTGAATGGCATTATTAAACACAGCTGAAGTCAAATCAAATATCATTTCTTCATCCTCATTATATAATTCGGCTGTATACCGGGGTCTTCCGTCCGAAGTTTTTATTCCATCAATTCCGATATCTGTAGTGAATATTCCATCAACAATTACTTTATTTTCATATTTATGTTGGTAGAATGTAATCACTCCAAACAAAGAATCTTTATTAAAATCCGAGAAAAATTCCACATGTCCTTGTGCTTTACATCGTTGATATGGATGATATGGAGCCGCCGAAACGATACTTATAAAAAATATAAGAAATATCCCCGTGAAAAAAAGATTTTGTGTATTTCTTTTCATTATTATTAAAGGTATTATTATTATTATTAAGGTATTATTAAAGATTTCAAATTTTTTTTTTTTTAAATTTAATTTTTAGAGAAAAATACTTTTTTTTTTTTTTTTAAAAAAAAATAAAGGGAGGTTAAATACCGTGGACTTTACATATTTTATTTTTTGTTCTATTGTATAATAACATCCCCTTTTTAGCGAATATTAAAATGAACCTCCGAGGAATATCTCTTATTGAGAAAATGGGAATTGATCCGGTTTATTTTTAGTAAAAAATGCAAGATGAAGATTAATTTATATTTCATTTTGTCCGACGATATCCATTTTCATTATTAAAATGTCATATCTTTCTAACTTTAGATTACATATCTTTTTTCCAAAAAACTTTTGATTTGAATATTCCGGTAATTTATTACACGTATCAATCTTGATAGATTTTCGATATGCTTCTTGATAGATATCGTTGTGAAACCAAAGTGTGTGTCGTTACTAAAATAATTTTACCTACCATGTTCTATTTTTCGTAGCCTTTTTCACGCGAAATTTCATACATTACTTTTTTAAAATTTTTTATAAGCTACTTGTTTATTATATAGTTATACATTTTTGCAGAAAATCGCGTCAAAAATACAATATGATTCGCTATTTACACAAGATAATATTATATTTAACCATATTTAACTATAGTCATATTTAGAAATTTTTTTTTTATGTAAAATTGTATAAACTTTTGAAAATCATTTTGTACAATTTTTCACTAATTAAAAAAAATTCGAGTCGGAAAGTTAAAAAACAAAATTGGTATTACTCTCTAATCTATCAAGAAATGTACCACACATTTCGGTTTCACAATGTTATCTATCAAGAAGCATACCGAAAATATATCAAGATTGCTACCTGCATGATTAAAAAAGTAGATTATTATATAGTTAAGCATGTTCAGCTTATATAAAAAAAAAATTTGACGGAGGGTCTCGGAGGTCCTTCCATGACCCAAATTTACAAATTCCATCCAATCGGAATTTATTAGACAAAAAATTTTCTTCTTTAGTAAAAAATGACTTTTGCTAGAAAACGTTTAAATCAACCGCCAATATATCGAACAATAAAGAGAAATCCTTTTTTACTTTTTGGTTTACCATTGATTATTTCTGTGGTAGGAGGTTCCTTTGTTTTAAGTCAATTGACACAAACCAGATATGATTTATACGAAAATAAGACTAAAAAGATTGAGAGAGAAGAAAAATTACAAATGAATAAAGATAGACGATCTGTTAGCATTCAAGAGGAGTATTGGGTAAGTCGCTATTAAGGAAATGAATGTTTCTTTGTAGCTAAATTATAATTATGATTTTGTCTTTGTATAAATTAAAGAGGTTACAGGCAAATCAAAAAGAACTTGATAATTGGGAAATTAAGCGAGTTGAAAGGCCTCCTGGCGCATTTGATGGAATATTAAAGTAATACAAAGAGCGGATGATAAGGTGTCGTAATTTTAGTAAATTACTTGTATATTATTACTTTTTATTCTTTCAATATTACAATAAATAAAATAATTTAAAATTGAATTGTTGGATTATTATGAATTTTGGCATATTTTCCTAATGCCCAAATTGTAAAGATAAATTTATAATTCGGATAACTGATGGCAACACTTTTGTTAAACACTCCTTCAATTGCCTCCTGTTTCCATTCTCCCGTACTCAACTGTCTTGACATTATAAGCTAATGAATGATATTAAATATCAGAGGTTTTTTTTTTTTTTTAAAAAAAAAAAAAACAATAATAAATGACAATCTCTTTTTCTATATAATTACCTCAATACCTCGTCGGATCACTTTTTCATCAGGATATTTGGCCGACATCAAACCTAATAATGACCATGCTGTATTCACAACTTGAGATTGGTCAAGTCCAGAATAAACTTCTGTTTCACATGACTAAATATTATAATATTTTATATTTATTTATCTAAATTAAATAGAATTTTTTACTGTCAATCAAAACCAACCTTGTAGCTTTCTCCCCACCCGCCATCTTCATTTTGCTTAGAAATTAAGAATTCACATCCTTTTCTTACGCTTTCACTATTATAAAATTTTAAAAAAGAATTTAAAAATAATTCCAAACATCAATAGTAAAAAGATCAAAATACCTGTTGTCGTATGTTTCACCAAAATATGCCAAACTTTCAAGAGCAAACATTGAAGCATATGTGAAACAAATGGCCCATGACCCATACCAACTTCCATCTTCTTTTTGAGATTTGTGTATAAATTTTGCTGCTTTTTGGCATACTTTCCTATGATATCAATTTATTTATTACATTAAAGATTGAATCTTTTTTTTTTTTTTTTTATCTCGCCAAATTATTAGTTTACTTACTCGATTTCATCGGCACGATAATCAGGGTAATATTTTTTAAATATACTTAATCCAGTCAATACAGCAGTTGTACATTCCGGATAACTATATTCTATCATAATTTTACCAAATACTTCTGATGGATTTATCCATTCGAGAAATTCCGGTCCACGAATCTTTTCATAACTAGCAAATCCACCATCACTATTTTGCATAGTTAACAAAATATCCACAGCTTGGCAAAGTCTTTCTTTTGAAACTAGGGTTGGCTTAAAATTCAATTTATTTTGAAGATATAAAACTGCTTTCAATCCTTCAGCGGTACAATCTGACACCGTATATCCTTGGTCACGTGTGCTGAATCCCCACGCTCCCTTTGACGGATGTCTATAACAATATTCCATTTCAATTGGATTGCGCTTAATTTGAGCGTCATCCAAGAATTCCAAAGCCTTTATCATGCTATCATGATTCTCAGCGTAATTGCCCAATCCTGCATCAATGATAGCTTGAGCTGCAAACGCGGTATCCCAAAGTTGTGAACCATTTGTACCGTTCATCAACATCCCTTCAGAACTCATCCACATATAATCAATGAGCCTTTCTTTAGCAAGTTTAAATGCTTCAGAATTAGGGCCTTCTTCATAATACGTGCAAAGAATATGCATGACTTTGTTAACCTATGAATAAAAGACATTATTAATATGTCATAATATTGCAACATTTTATATTAATATTGATTATATACTGGAGCAAGGTCAAGATAATCTGTATTATTGTCTTCATATTGTATTAATTTATAAGATTCATCGAGAGAAATTTGACGAAAGCCAAAAAAATTTGGAAGCTTTTCGTATAAAGTCAAGACAACTAATTCGATTATAAAAGAAGGTTAAGATGAGAAAGCTTGCAAGAAAAAAATTAAAATAAATTCACTTACAATTTAGAAATTTCAAAACTTTTGTATGTGGCAAATAAAGATCAGCCTCTGAAACATTATTCCTTGCTCGAGCCCAATCGATTGAGTCATATGGCTGATCATATAACTCTTGTCGTAACGATTCAATAAGCGGATTAACGTCAGCACTAAGTCTTTTCCCATACATATATCCCATAGGAAGATAAACTGCGCGACAATGAACCCAATATCGACCGGGGTGAAATGGTATTGCATATGGAAGTAACCTTTATTAATGAAACAAATGTTGTGTTATTAATGATGTTATTCGAAGGAAAAAAGGTCAGT